GGGGGGGGGACTGGAGTGTGAGTTCGTCCCATCTGAGGCACAGAGACCATCATTTGTGCCACAGTGTTGGCCAGCTATTGGATGTGGGCTGCCGTGGGGTGCATGACCTCCTTGGGAAGTTGTTCTTTGTTTGATGGTACATTCTGCAGGAGGGGAGGTTTCTGGGAGTGATTTGCCATCAGTACTTACAGTGGCTGAAGAGTGGGTACACCAACCCAGTAAAAAAGATATGGGCTGAGCCTCAACAGTATCTACTGTGGCCCCTTTGTCCCTGCCTCTGTACTACCATGGACCACTACAGTCTGGTGTGTCACTGACAGTAGCATAGAAATTTCATTCTAGCCACTCCCTGGTTAGATGACTTTAAGCACATTGCATAGCTTTATTTCACCTGCAAAACAAATTATCACACTTATGCAGCCATATTAAAGATTAAATTAACTAACACAAGGAGTGTTCTGTACAATCACAGGAGCACATAGTAGGTCTTCATCAAATGTAAGTCCTCAGCCCCACCCTACAAAGACCCCTCCCCAAGGGAGGCAGGAGTTGCAGATGGACACATAGGAGCCTGCAGATGGGCATCGGGAGAATGGTCTCTCTCGCCACTGTGCCCGCCTCCAATTTACGGAGAAACAATGATTCTCTGGAGTGTGTGTGAGCGGCTCCATTTCTGTTGGGCCATTGTTCTCTGTGCTCTGTTCAAGTCAAGTAGTCAGATAATGTTTTCTTTAAACAGAGCCAATCCCATATCAGGTGCATTTGTTTTTGCTTCTTGCCTTCCAAGGCATTTGAATGTTCTTTCTCTGACAGGTTTATTTCATCGTGTTCCATTTATTTCCACACGTTTCTCAGCCTCGTTTGATGGGTGAGGTACCTGAGAGTGTTTCTCTTTGAGCAGGCTGTCCCTTTCAAAGGGTGTTTTTGTTAATGTCCATCCCCTGGTAGCAATAATGGCTGATGTAAATAATAACTGGCCGGGTCTGAGTGATAGGGATATTAGACTTTAAGCACAGGGAGTCTCTTTTCAAATCAACACCAGCTCGGAGAACTGTGGAACCACATTATGTAGCCAGGACAGGCTGGCATTCATAGTCAGTGGGGGCTGAGTTCGGCTTTCAGCTCTGCCTCTTTCTAGCTTGGTGATCCTTGGTAAGTTATTTCTCTTCTCTGGATCTTATTATCTTCATCTGAAGAAGACAAAAACAAAAAAACACCAACAGCCATAGTTCATCATGAGAGCCAAGTATGATAATAGATTTAACTTTTTTGCCTAGCTAACACCAACTAGTTCTTCAGCTCCTTCTCACTTATTGGCCTATCCTTCAAGGGATTCGTGCTCTAGAGTGAGATGTCTCAACCTCAGCATTACTGGGGCTGAATAGTTTTTTGTTGAATACTATACTGAAAGTGAGAAAACAGAATGGTTGTACAAGTACTCCAAGTACGATATTTACTAAATACATATCATTTTCACACCACTGTAAAATAAAAAAAGTCTTAAGTCAAATCATTGTAAGTCGGGAATCATCTGATATATACAAAATATTATTTTAATATAAAATATTTTTCAAATGTTGGTGAAAGAAATTTTACATCCTTTTTTGTACTAAGTCTTTAATATTTAGTGTGCATTTTATACCTAGAATGCTTCTCAATTTAAATGTTAAGTTTTAAAGGGTTAAAATAAAATATAATTCTAAAAAGATAAAAATTGAAAACATTGTAAATTTTAAGTGGGTAAACATAATTTACATTGTTTCAGACTTTAAGTTTAAATTAGTTGAAATGAAATAAATTTTAAAATACAATTCCCCAGTCACACCAGCCACATTTCATGTGCTCAGTAAGCAACATGGCTTAGTGACTACCATTGTGGACAGTGCAGATCTAGAGGTAAAAAACATCTTAACCATCTTTATCCCAAGCTGGTAAACAGAAGCTCATATGCACAGAGTAGAAGCTCAGTAACATTCAGTTCCCTTTATTCCATTTTGCCTCCCAGGGGACACTGGGCAACGACTGGAGATGCATCTGGTTGTCACAATTGAGTGTGAGGGATTATAGGGGACAGTAGCATCAAGGGTGTCCAATAAGTTGAGGAAAATAACAGTGTAACAGCAAATATGTGTTAACATACGTCCTACATGTCATGGAATGTGCTGAGTGTTTCATATTATTAATACATTTAAACTTCCCAATGTCTCTGTCAAGTAAGGTACTATTAATATTCTCATTTTATAGATGAGAAAACTAAGGCTCAGATGACTGAAAATCATATAACTCAGAAGGGATGAAGTTAGAATTTGAACCCTGTTCTCTCTAAACAGTATGTAATCTTGCTCACCATGCCCTGTGCCATAGACAACCTTAATGAGCACCTATTATAAGTCAAGAACTGGGAAGCACTATAGCAGAGTGGCTCAGAAATGTGTATGAGAAGCCAATGAATTTTTCAGCTGTGGGACTTTGAGCCACAAAGTTGCCCCATTTCCTTGTCTGTAAAATGAGAGTACAAATAATGGTCAGTTGTTGAGAGAAATATAATACTTCTCAATAATAAGTATAGTACAAATAATATACTTCGTTATCATAGACATGTGCTGTCATTATTCTAAGTCTAAACCCATTTTACAGATGAGGAAACCAAGTTCCAGAGAGGAGGCAGCTTTCTGCCCAAACTGACATTAAATTCAGATTCAGAAACCCACCATCATCCTTGCCTTCTCTCTCTCCATCTTCAGTATCCAATTTATCACCAAATTTGACCAATACTATCTCTAAAATCTCTCCTCTCTCACTTCTGGGACCCATGTCCAAGACTTGTAAAGCCTTGCTTGCATTAGTATCACAGCTTCCAAACTGGTCTCCTCATCTTCACATCAGTTCCCTTCCAATATGTACTTCCTACTGGAGCTAGAGTGATAATCAAAAAATAAGAGTCTGATCCTGATTTAAATGCTCCCAAGGACCTTCATTGTGCTCTGGGATAATTAGCCCAAATCTAAGGTCATTTGCCATCTAGTCCCTGTTCTTTTCCATCTCTCCAACTGTATTTCCTCCTTGGCATCCTGTTCCACATTCACACTGATCATATAAGTGGCACCTGCTTTCTCACATCCTCCTCTCTTTTCTAGGATGCTCTCCTTCTATGGTCTGCCTTATCCTCTGGGATCAAGTTCAAATAGCTTGAGCCTTGCAGAGCTTTCTCTGACTGCTACTGTCTCAGCCTGCACCCAGAGGACATATCAACTGGCCAGACCAAGTGGCACAGAGTATCACAACCTTCCCAACCTTAAGTAAGGATTCCTCTCGAACATGGCACACATTCTCAGTATAATCACCTTGTCTTGGATCTGTCTGGTTTCTACCAACTCTCTCTCTCTGTGCTCAGCACATACTGTAGTGCTTATTTGCTTGGCCCCATGTATAAGTGGCCTAGTAACTGAACCAATTGTTAGCATTGATAGAGAACATACCAGGTGTGGTAGGTTCACTCCTGCCCCACCTTCTGCCTCTACCCTGTGATGGTTCAAGACCTCACTCTGCTCATCTTTATTTTGTTAGGCTGATTGTGAGTCACTGAGCACTAGTTTTCAATCCAGTATTTGAGCCAAGTTTCCTGGAGACTGAGTTGTTAGAACCTCTGAATGGGGCTCCCCCCAAATCTGCCGGGACTGATCCTGCTGAGCCCAGTGCCTG